ACTTTAATAACTGGTGCTCCTTTGCAACTCAGGAGCGTCAGTGGATTCGTGAGGCGGACTGGCTATCCTTCACGGGGTCTGTATCGTTCCAGTCGTCACCCTCTTATGTATGGAATCGGATTAATGCTATACCGGGTACTCGACGGAGGCCTCCTCCCCACCCTTATCCTGCCTCCCTTGCCTGCTCTTTAATGGAGGACTGGGCACGAGCTTCCTCCCCTTAGGCACTTCCAGATCCAATACAGGAGGCAGTGCAGGCTCGCATCGATGCATCTGAGCCTGTTGTTCGTGTTGCTCTTACCTCCCCTGCCCTCACTGATCATCCCATCACACAGTTCGAGCTTGACAGTGCTCGTCGCTCTAGAAAAGACACCTCTCATGGGGATGATCAGCTAACCTACTCCGTCCTCAACGTCTGTACTAATATTCCTAACGGCCCCTTGCTCGCTCTCTACAAAATGTCTTATGAACATGGGGCTCTCCCGTCTAACTGGAAAAATGCCACTATTATCCCCATCCCTAAGCCGGGAGATCCTGGGAAATATCGACCCATTAGTCTTACCTCCTGTGTTTGCAAGTTGATGGAGAGAATACTCCATCGTCACCTTCTTCACACCACAGGCGGCTTCCACAACTCCCTCAATAGTTTCATACAACATCCCAGTACAGCACACTCCATTGCTTCCTTTTTTTGCAATCAGACTGCTCGCGTTCTCCGTCTTCCTTGATATCAAGGGAGCCTTTGATACGGCTCAGCCTGCCCTCATTTTAGCTGAACTTGCGCAGTTAGGGGTTAAAGGGAGACTTCTTCGATGGATCGCCTCTTACCTCACTGGACGTCAGGCCCGGGTTCGCGTTGAAGGCTCTATTTCTCCTGTTCAAGAAATGAACCTCGGCACCCCTCAAGGTGGAGTTCCGAGTCCCACCTTGTTTAACACTCTCATGCACTTCATTGCATCTCTCCCGTGGCCGACAGAAGTTGTCCACTTTCTCTCAGAGTTCCTGACGGGGCATCCTCCACTCAGGCTGAACTGATAGCCCTCCTTGCTGCCCTTCTCGCTGAGGAAGAAACCGATGGTTTCTGCCCCTTGTTTGTCTGCTGCGATTCCAGGTCTGCTCTCAACGGGATCACATTTGGATCAGGGGAAAATAAGGACCTCGTCCTCCGAATACGAGGGTTAACATCCACACTTAAGGATGCAGGCCGTCCTGTGACATTCTTATGGATACCCAGTCATGTCGGTATCTTGGGGAATGAGGCAGCAGATGGCCTTGCTAAGACTGGCTGTAACAAGGCCACACCTGACTACATTGTTCCTCGAACACTTTTACAGCTAAGGACCCAAATCAGATGCAAACAGAGAGACGCTCGGGAAGCAGCCATCCTCCTGGACTCCCCGCCCACCTGGTGCGATATTCTCCGTAAACTTCCTGACCTCTCGTATGTCTATGGGAAAGGGTCGCGGAAAAGGGACATGTTTGCTGAAGTATCATCTTTGGGTAGGATTTTGCTTGGGAGATTGGTATCTCCGCATTCCCTGAGCAACGCACTTGTGCATTATGCAGAAGACCCGACAGCCGCACCCTTATCCACTACCTCCTAAGATAATCCCCACACACAACTCTTCCATGAAACCTGCTGGACCACCACTCCACGACCCCCTGATGGAGACACAATGATCCTCCCCATACTGGCCAGATATTATGTAAATAATATTGATGATGTGTTAAAGAAATATCATTCCTTCCTTAGGCTTTAGTAAGCACCTTCATAATATTTATATATACTTGTGACACTTGCCAGATGCTTCTGGTGTTATGGTACAGGGGTACCTAGTGACAGCACTAGGATCCCGCTTCCTTTATCAAGGAATAAATATTGAAATTGAAAAAAAAAAAAAATAATAATATTGTATCATGAATGAGTCAGTACAACAAACAGTGAGGTGACCCTTTGGGGGAGGGGGTGGCTTGGTCACTTTTACCCCCCAATGGACCCTTCTCCCTCGCTCACAACAAACATTATAATCTTTACTGTATTTGTGTTACAGAGATGAACTTGATACCATAATGATCCTCTATGAGACGTTTCCAATATCATATCCTTAAACAACAAGCTGAATTAGAAGGTAAAAATAAGTATTTTACTGTCACTTGTGTTCTTATCAATCGTTATCAATGTCGTCTGCTCCCCTACTGCTGTCTGCGAGGAGAGGGGGAGGTTGGGTGTCGACAGCCAGGAGGAGAGATTGATGTTTACTCAAGGATTATGAAAGGCAGGGGTTTTAGATTTTTCCTTATAAAATGCCACTGACTTGACTTAGGAGAATATAACGTGCACTGCTGGAATTCATGTAAGATAGCGATTAATCTAAGTACAACATCCCTTAGTTTGCTCCAGACATAATAATTTTAGTAATAAAATTGGTACATTTGAGTACAGGTTGTGATAATTTATGTGGTTGCTCAGAAGTTGTGGTTGCAGTTTCGAAGCTTCGAGACATCACTAGTGTATAATGCGTCTCCATATGTCCTGGTTTATTTATTGATCAGCTGTCTAAGTGCAAATGTAGAACAAATTCTTCATCAACTTCTTCAAATCCTACAATGTGCTTGGCAAGCTCAAAACAAACACACACACACACTTTGGCAACCTCACTGAGTGAGGACGTGTCCCCTAGCGCTCCGCAGCAGCCAAGGTCATCATGTCGACCTGTAGCTAATTTAAGGCAGTTCAGTACTTTTACGGAAAGACAGTGTGCATTTTCAAGGTGTCAGAGACTGAGTGCTAGACTTGTGAATATGTGCATTCCAGTGTCACGATACCGTCGCACCGACCTGTTCCGGCTGAAGTCTGGTGCCGGCTATCCTCCTCCCCACACCATCACTCTACTAAAGGCGCTGAGAATCTTTCACAACTGCAGCTGCAGACAGGTCGCCGCATTCCCAGACGAATCCCTATCATCACGCCGAGCAAGCATAACAAAGTTAAGCCAGTGCCAGAAAGACAGTGTGCTCGCTATGAAGTGCCGCGACTATGGTACAGCCTACCATCCCTATTGCTGTCCAGTGTTACATCGTTATGCAACAAGGTGGAGGAGGTCAGTGTTACAGTGAAGTCAGTTGGCGCAGGTATTGTGGCGATAACCAAGGCGTGGCAAATTGTTCCTGAGATCTGCGCCATAGAAAATTATGAGTTATTTCACCACCTTAGAAAATACATCACACTGCTTAGTTAGTTTCCTGGATTTTCTGCACAAAAACCTGGAGAAACGTAAGACATCACTGGCCGTTGCCCTTGCTGACTTCAGGAAGGCTTTTGACCTTGTTGATCACTGCACTGTTATCAACATGGCCATTGCACTAGAGCTGCCCACCAACTTGGTCTCATGGCTCACTGATTTCCTGAGTGAGCGTCGTCAGGCAGTGAGGTACCAGGGTTCTGTCTCCACATTCCAACACCTCACCTGCGGTGTTCCCCAGAGAACCAAGATGGGACCACTGTGCTACCTAATCCTGATCAACGACACTCTATTGGACACTCCTCACAGGTGGAAGTACGTGGATGACTGCACTGTGGGGGTTACAGTGGACAACACCTCACTGGACTACTCATCACTACAAGGCACCCTGGACAGGCTACAGGCATGGACTACGGAGAACAAGGTCACCATCAATCACACCAAAACAGTAGTCATGCACTTCAATACTGCCAGTGCAAGCTCCAGCAGTTACAGTAGGTGCCCATCCTCTCCAGTTAATGCAGTCTGCCAAATTCCTGGGTGTAACTATAGACCACAAACTGGACTGGTCGTCTCTCTCAACTCTACCCAACAACGTCAGCTAGAGAAGGTAGAGAAGAGGGCCTGCAGAATCATGCTCGACGCAGACTACTCCGGCCACAACAACGCTCTCTCCACTCTGGAAATGCCATCCTTCAGTGACCTCCTCCACCACCACACACTAGCAAGGTTTGGCAGTGGACTACTGCACCATCCTCGTCATCACCACCTACTGCCACCTGCAGTCCCCCGCCCACCTCGCGCAGTCCGCCACTACAACAAAATTCAGCCCATAAGAGCCCGCACTCCTTTCCACTCCATCTCTCTAATCACCCACACCTTTCTGCTTTCTCACTCCATATTTTAAAATGTTATGTAATGTAATGTTGAAGGGATACAACTTTGCTCATTTATACTAATCACAATCTCCCTAAAAATACTTTAGCTTTCATGTTTATTCAAGACATCTTCAGGTCAAGAGACCCACTAGTCCCCCACCCAAGAAAGGGTAACCTGACATTCCATCAGAAGGTCAGTAATATGAGACCACTAATCCCCCACCCTACCTCCACCTGACGTGAGTCAAATACTTTAACTTTCATCTTTATTCAAAACATTATCAGAAAATTCTCACGATTTTCAGCGAAAATCTGTTCCTAGAGCTGGAAATTTTTGGGAAAATTCCGGCTTTGGGAATGATTTTCCGATCTAATTTAATTTCCGGCTATCAGAGATTTCTGGGTTTGAGGGATTCCGTCTAACGGAGATATTATTTATTGTTTTTGGGGTTTTGTGAAACAATGAGTTGATTTTTTTAGAATAGTTGGCTTCTGGTTGAGGTGAGCTACCTTGCCTTAGTCCAAGATCCTGAGTTCATCATAACAAGAGTCACACTTAACTCTCTGCTCTGCAGCAATGGTTACAACAAACTCTGACTTTGATTTGAGAAGACAGGAAGTTTTACAGTTATCTTGGTGTTTTTACCTCCAGATGTTTTGTATAACTTGAAATAATGTTATCACATAAAGTGTAAGAAGTTTGGTCTACACAATTTCTTTCAAACACTCATGTTACTGTATATGTCAGAGCATTAACCTCAATTTGTTTACTGCTGTATATTAGCAGCTTTCCATGTATTTTTTTTTTAAGTCAATCTATTGTTTTTGTACTCATGAATACAATTTATTATGAAGTAAAGGCACAATGAATACTACACTGCATTACCACTGTTGATAAATGACCCTTTACTGTACAACCATAATATACTTTTACAACATCACTCAACAAGACAACATAGAGATACTGTACCAGAAGGTTTGGGTGGGCATCACTCCTGCATGCTGACAGACCGTGTGTGTGAAACATTATCTTTCAAACTGTCCGAGTCACGAGTAGAGAGAGAAAACTGATCCTCTGCACAATGATCATCCATCATCTCCTTCTGCTTCTTCAAGTAGTGGCGCTCCTGTAATATGGAGTAAAAGCATAATTTATTTTTTACCGATAAATTTAGTTCAATATTACATACACTTGAGTATCAGGAGTCTGAAATACTTAAGACCAAGAGGCTCTTGGAAAGTAAATAAATTTGGAAATTTGATATACAGGTAAGGGCAGCTGCAGATCTAGTAGAGGTCCTGGGAGTCCAGACCACCCCCCTATAAAAATTCTACCCTTTTCTTTAACATGATATTGTACTCAGATGTTTTTGTATATTAAAAGTAGTTACTATTGACATCAGGATATCTCTTAATGTCAATGGCACGTAATTTCAAAATGGCCTCAAAATGCTTACAGCACCCCTCTCAAGACCCCCCCAGCTGGGTGGGCTCAATGTGCTCACCATGTTCCCCTCACCCACAACTTCTTGGACCCCCCGTTTTTTATATTCTTGTATCCGCCCCTGAAGGGACCATTTTTCCAGTGTCTCAGTACAGGGGGACCTCATTATGCGTCAGGGATGTGTTCCAGAGAAAAGAGACTTAAAATTAAATGTTTTATAATGGAATTTTTAAGAATGTAATTAGGGGTATATGCATTCCATCGTGTACTGTGCAGTAATAGTAAGTCCTCAAATAACATCGCCCCGATTAATGTTGTTTCGGTACAACGTTGTTACTCTTTAGATACCAATAATTCGGATAACGTCCCGGTGGCTCAATTTAACTTTGTTTTTGCATCGTCACAGACTACTTTTTACAGAGCATCACCCTCTCTCCTCTTGCCCTGCTATGCTCTCTCGAGAGGAGGAGGAGGCAGCCACCAAGTCTCATTGACTCACCACCCTCCGTCCTCCACCCAGCTCCCACCCTCCTCCTCCCGCCCCACCCTCTGCCCCCTTCCCGCCATCCGCCTCCTCCACTCCACTACCCACCACACACTCGCTCCACCACCTCCATCCATCGGTGAGTACCAATACAAAATGATATAATTTTATATATACAGTGGTCCCTCGGTTAACGAACACAATATCCAGAGTCGTTCAGAAACCGAATTTATTATTTCAATGGGATATTGGGTAATTGGTTCCAACTCACAGAAAAAGAGTACACAAAGTACTGTATATCAGTAATAGAATTAACAAAACATTAAATATAAACTAAATACAGTACTGTACAGTGATCCTCTCAATAATGAGCTCTTTCTTAACAAGATTTCGGTTAAGAGTTACCTC